CTGTACCGTCTTCACCAGTGGTCCAAGCCAGCACACCTGGTCTCCATCTTAAAACACTATGTTCTCCTTTCTGGCACTCTATCTCAAGACACAGTGGGAAAAGACAGGATTCTAAAGTCAGATCTGAGTACAAATGCTACCAACGCCACTGTCTGGATGCAGGCTTTGGGCCAGGCCAGGAGCCTTCTGGAAGCCCAGATCCTATTTCTTGAACAAGGCTAAAACCATCAGCAAACTGTTACAAAGATCATCAATAAAGCATGCACCACAGTAAGGCCAGGCACATAGCCAGTAAGCAGTAAAGAAACCACTGTTCTTGAATAAGAACTGCTTTAATGACTAACCGGGACAGAAGAGAAGGTTTGCACAACGAATGTCTCGGCAGGAAGAGTAGGCAATAAACTAAAGTTGGTCACCTCTTCTTGGACCTGCTCCTTTCCTCTTTACTATTTCATAGTCCAGGCCTCTTCTTTCCCACCAATATTCCTCAACTAATCTCCCTGCTTGTAACTATATGCACACCCGTCCAGCACAGCTGTTCCAAACCATGGAGCTAACCATTTCACATAACAACCACAGGAAAAGGCGCACTCTGAAGCAAGAACATCAGTCCTTCCAGCCTTACTTCTGGTCTCCCGTGTCCCCATGTCCGAACCACACTACTGCCTGTCATCCCAGCTGTCCCACTGCCACACTTGTCACCGACATGCCCTACTCATCCCTCAAAACATGATTCCCACGTCCTCTTGTCTTCAAAGCTTTTCTCTGATATTTCAAAGGTTTTCCTTCAGACTTGACCCACAAGTTGCATCCAAATATTTCGGCCTTGTTTCTTACTGGCCCTAGCCAACTGTGCAGTTCTGGAAGAAGAAGACACGCTTTACCACCTGAGCATCCCTCCTGTGCCCGGGATATGTCACCTGACAGCATTTCTGTGATGCAAACTCAATACTGCTCCACTAGTACCAGCAACCTAGAAGACTGGAAAAATAAAACTGTCACTATGAAAAAAATGCACTATTTCTAGAAACTTTGTGAAGTTTTAAAAATCCAATTAATTCCAAACTAATCATAAAGAGATTAAATAATACTGAGAATAAAACTTACATAAAAGTTCACAATGGAAGGGCCAGAAATTTAGCTCAGTGGTTCCACCACCTGCCTTGCAAGCGCAAGGTCCCAAGTTAGATCCCCGTTACCAAAAAATAAAAAATAAAAAAGTTTACACTGGAAGATATGTTGGGCCAAACTCTCATTAAGAAAAAAAAAAAGAAAGAAATGTCAGTATTTATTACAAAAATCTGAAAAAAATTTCAATCACAAGGAGAATATCTTGACGACATTCTCATTCCCAGTAGACAAAAAATAAAATCTAACAAAAGCAGTCTTTTAGTTCACAGTAAAATATTTTGAGGCTTTCCTTCTAGAAAGGTACATTTAATCTTGGCTGAATAGAATAGAGGCAGAATAATGCTCTTACTGGCTATGCATATCACTTTCTTTTTTAAATAGTGGATTTGAAGAATTATTTCCTATATTCAAATGATTTAAACCTTTCACAGATTGTGCAAATTTACCTCCACTAATCACCATGAAGACTGACAATGCAATTATAACAACTATCTACAAAAACTTAAAGATGTACTTGGTAAACACAGAAATAAAAAATATCTGTCTAGATAATGTACTTAAAACTAAGCCAATTTCTTTTGGAGAAATAGAATGATATACTGTAGAAAGACCATTAATTTGGGTCCTCAAAAATGTTAGAACATGTGAAGTTTGTTTTTTGAAATCCCAACTATAACCCACTGTATTTAGCACCTCCTGTCCTTTCCAGTATATTAGATAATTGCACACCACACTAAAAACAAAATTAAGGAAAACATTCCTACCGCCCACCTTTTTCATTAAAGAAAACACAGAAATATCACACATGCAACAACATCTTATAAAAGTCAAAATGACTAGCCCCAAAGAAAGGTGTTTGTCCTTAATTAAAAGAGAGAATTTAGAGGCCCGGGGCGGGGGGCGGAATCATTGGTTCTGACACAAAGTTGGCTTAGCAGTTTTCAAACCCTGTTCTGGAGGCTCCTTCAGGTGCCTTAGTGGCTGGGCTGCAACCCCACATTAATCAGAGGAAGCTGCACGTTTTTGGTGCATTTATACAGTGAGCGTCAGCAAAGACTGTTCAAACAGAGGTGATCATAACTTTTAAAATTCTGAAAACTGGGGCCAGGAATTTAGTTCAGTGGCACCCCATGCCTGCCTCACAAGCGCAAGGTCCTGAGTTCGAGCCTCAGTACTGAAGAAAAAAAAAATCTGAAAATCACTAAAAAGGATTAACCAATAATAACAATGGTTACTACTGACATTCACACTTCATAAACTAAAAATATAAACAGCAATATTGAATATAGAAAAAATGGTTTTAAACAGTGGTAGAACATTAAGAAACAGGCAAGACTCACAACTTTAGGTGCGTTTCTTTTATGAGTAAGTGTGTTCTTTTGATTCTAATCAGTTTTTTTTATCACGCTATTGTTTGTTTAGGGAAGAGACAGAAGCTAAGTTTCTGCAACTTTGCTCTGGCAAAAAGACAGTAGACAGCTCAGTAGGGTATCGGCTGTGAACCCAAGGCAAACAGCTTCAGCAGGCAAATATATGATCACACTGACATGATTGAGTATGCTTGTTTAGATGAATGGGAGGGGGCCCACTTCATATATTGGGGTGGGGGACATATCTGTCTTAGTTTGGGAATCTGTACCAGAAATAATATCCTTTTTCAAGGACATTCCTAATTTTTAACAACTACTGCACCCTCTTATTCTTCTGTACTTAAGTCAATTAATGCCAACAAAAATCAGAAATTAGAGTTTAACAAATACATGAAAACCATCACTTTCTAAATAAATTAGAATATTTAGAAAACTGACTATTTTAATGCTTTGCTTTCTTTTATGAAGAAACTACAGATTTAAAGCTTATTCGCCAGTGCCTTGGTCCACAAGGCGTGGATGGCTACCACCGAGCAGCCTCTCCTATCTCTCTCCTCTCTTAGCCCTTTCAATAGTATACTGTTGAAATTGTGACAGAGAAGTATCAAAGCCATCTAAAAAGAATCCTATAAATTTTTTGTCACACAAAAATGCTATTTAGCTAGTGAAAGCATGGACAATTTTAAAAATGAGAAGTTTTTTTTTTTTTTGTACCGGGGATCGAACTCGGGTCCTTGTGCTTGCGCAGCAGCGCACTGAGCTAAATCCCCGGCCCTGGAACATTATTTTTTAATGCTTATTACTTTCCAAGAGAATACAGTCTCTCCATACTAAGACTCAATTGTAAAAGATCAAGATAAGAAGGAAAAAAAAATTATTAGCATTTGTAGTTTATTTTTAACCAAATGAAAAGATTATTTTTATCTGAGTATTCATATAGTTTACTTTTAAACTACAAATATATGAATACTCAGAGATAAAAATAATCCTTTCATTTGGTTAAAAAATAAGATGAACAATAACCTGGACTACATTAAATAACATTTACTTCTTAATATCACTGGACACTCTCTTCAGAAGGCTTAGAAATAAAAATTACAGCAGTCTGTTCCAAACACAGGGAAGATAAATACTGCTGTACATAAACTCTCCAAACTATGACTGATCTAGTTAATAATTTATTAGAGCTATGACTCTCATTTCTTCTACGTGTTAATGAAAGCAATCCTACCCTTGGGACAGAATGCTGGAAAGATACTGATCCCCATCATAGAAGTACAGAGGCCTATCAAGTGGGGACCCACACATGAGACAGTGCAGATTTTCCTATTCGATGCTGCTCTCTGGACTTAAAAGAGACAAATCAGAATAAATTCAAGTCATTTATTTCCTCAAAATGGGTAAAATATGAAAACAAGGTGCAAGTTACTTATAGGTATTGATTCCCTCGAAAGATCTAATATAAAACACGCGTAGGTACATCAACATAAGTTTCTGAAAGATTTCAAAATGTTTTCTTGCTCTAAAAGTCACATTTGTGACAGACTGATACATGAGCTTGATGGTTTAATCCATTTATTTGTTTGTACTCTACCACTTAGCTATTCCCCATCCCTCAATCCTTTTCAGAGTAAGGAAAGACATAAATATAATTTCACATATTTATAATAGGTTTTGAAATTCTATATACTCAAGAAAATATCAAATTTTCCTGAGCCTAACTTTCCTATTAAAATATTTAAATTTTGTTCATATACATTTATATCATTAAAATCATTACTAAATATACAACACACTAGAGTAACCATATTTGTTTTTAATATGTAATATTTATTTTTTAATTATAAAACCTATCTCTTCAAAGAAATAAGCTCACATTGGTGAATTTCTTTTCCTATTTCTTACACCAAGACAAAACTGAGCTAATCACACACACACTCACTCACTCACACCGAGTTTTTAAATCCTGGGGTTAAATGAATTCTTTCTACATATCTTTCTAAGCAACATGTGGTGTGAGAGGAGACACCATTTATGGTTCACACCACCTAAGGGCACTCTGCACATTTTCAAACAGCTTTCAGAATCAAGTTTTTATATGAGGAAAGAGACCTCATCCTACTTGAAGTTTAAGGGGTCAGTACTAGTAGCTTAGAAAATGTGTTTTCTCATGAAAAGTAAAAACACTGTTAAAGACATGTTACTCTGGCGCACTGCTTCCCCTCTGGGCCTTGTCCATCAACAAAGTCGAGTTTCCAGAGCAGGATGAACCACACTGAGGAACTTCAAATGAGAGGACTGGAAGATAATCAGACTAACTAAGCTCCAAGCATTATTCTCCTGAACTACACAATCATCAACAAACTCAATTTCAAACTTTTTGTAGAAAACAAATGAAAGTGAAGAATTACTTCAAATAAATATGATTTAAATGCTGACAAGACTGGCTTTAGCATATACACAGCACTTCAGCTCAACCTCAGGAGGCAGGATGCTTACCTGCTTCCTGTGAATTCAGCACTTCTAAGGCATGCATCATGGCACTTGCGAAGACATTGGCATCCTCCTTGCTGCCAAAGTTGAGGCCGTACACCTGTCTAGCATCTCGCCACTGGTGGAAAGTCTGTGTAGCTTGATTATACTTCAACCCTTTAGGAATGGCACAATTTATCACGACCTGAAAGACAATTAATTCTTTATAAAATCAAGCTAATACCTTGCAAAATCAAGGAACAACTGAAAGTGTTATCAATAAGGTTGTCCACCTGAGCCAGCACCATCTTCTAACAGCTGCAGCTTACCTTTTTTCATATCTCAAATGACTTGTTTCATCCTGCTGGTCAGTATGTCTAACTTTTTGCCAACACCAGTGTCTTTAATGACTGTAGCTTTATATTAAGTCACAAGAGCCTCTGGGTATTCCTCTGATTTTGTTCCTCAGTATTGCTTTGGGTATTCTCAGTCAAGCTATCATTTTATATTCTGGTTATCAATTTCCACCAAATTATTTTTAGAATTTTGATTAAGGTTACATCAATCTCGGAAGAAGTGGTATTACAAAATTACCTAATTCATGAATATCATATACTACCTTTTATTTAAATTGACTTTGACACTTGATACCTTTTTATATGGGGGCCTCAAATGTTTCCATTGGATTTTTTTGGTACTGAGGATCGAACTCAGGACCTTGTGCTTGCAAGGCAGGCGGTGGCATCACTGAGCTAAATCCCCAGGCCCTGTTTCCACTAGATTTGATAAGTATTTGATAAATTTTTGTTACTATTATAAATAGTAACTTTAAAATTTTTCATTCTCTTACGAAAACTGCTCTTTGTACAATGACAATGTCCTCAGAAGCCTTGTTGAACTTGTCTTTTAATTTTAATCTACTATTAATCTAATCTATTGGTTAATTCTAACCATTCTAATCTATTAATCCTACTAATTTATATTCAGCCCAATATATATCCATAACATCTGCAGGAGATAGTGTTATTTCTTCCTTTCCAATTATATACAATATTATTTCTCTTTCTCACCTCCATTATACTATCTAGGAATCACAATTCAACGCTGAAAGGTGTGGAGATACTTTGTCTCTTACCTGAGGGAAAGCTTTCTTAATGTGACCCTAGACACCATCTTCTGTGACCTGTTTTGCATACTTTCCACCAGAGCAGAGAAGCATGCCTGACTCTTAGATTCTCAAGTCAAATTAACCTGAAATTTCCTTTCTATTGTATTCATGAAAGTTTCTGTATCAACGTTATGTTGGGCTCAAAGTGAACTGAGAGCTGATCCTTTTCTTAGCCATTTCTGGAAAAAAGTTTTGTAATGTTGGTGTCATTTCATTAAAGGTTAAACATATTAACTGGCTAAACAAACATACAAACAAAATAGTTCACTTGAACCCAGAGGTGTTTTTTTGAAATTCTTTTAACTATGGTCTTAATTTCTTTAAAAATAGTAATACTGCTGGGGATGCAGCTCAGTGGTTTCACCGCCTGCTGCGCAAGCACAAGGACCTGAGTTCGATCCCAGTACGGGGG